CTTACTAGTGACAAAACCCCCATTGTTAATTGACACTCTTGTGTCCCCCCCCCCCCCCCCCCCCATCCTTAATTTACAATGTTTTTAATTGTTAATGTCTTTAGCTACGACTAGGTAGAACTACATTTTATTTTTCTATTAATTCTTAAAACCACTCTTTTGGGAACGATCTCAACCCTTGGTTGGGTTACTAAACTATTGTACGATCGTAGACACTTGCATCAGAATTTGTCTTGATTACGCAAACATCGAAATGGCGCCGCTGCCGGGGAGTGGTGTTATTTGAAAATTTTTAGCTTAATAAATTTTTTGTTCTTCTTATTTGTAGTTTACTCACTTAATCTTCAATTTTGTTTTGAGTATTTGTGTGTCACAACAGGACATAAGAGTGCAAACAGGGAGAATAGCTACCAAAAGGGTCACCTAAAGGGTGGTGCTTTTCATTGAGACGGCATCGATGATGTTAATAGTGTTTATAACCCTGCTCACGTGGGCAAAATGGGTGCAATTTGCATCCCACAAGCCGACGGAAATGCAATGTTCGAAGTTACCAGTGCAACACTCCAGCTCATACATTCAAGAGGTTTATTTGGAGGGTTAGAGCATGAAGATCCGCACAAACATATATGAAGCTTTGTGGAAGTGTGCACCCATTTATCATTCAAGAATCTATCTCAAGAATCCATACGGCTTCGCTTATATTTCCATTATCATTAACCGGGGGAGCTACTAAATGGTTGGTCGAGCGTCTAAACAACTCCATCAAATCATGGGAGGAACTGGTTATGACATTTCACGAAAGATTCTTTCCTCCATCAAGAATGATGAAACTGAGAGATGACATTCAGAATCTCAAGCAAAAGAAGGGTGAACCAATTCACGAATCATGGACAATGTTCAAGAGATTTTTGCGTAAGTGCCCAACGCATGGACTACCAGGTGAATTGTTGCTCCAATATTTTACTGTAGTCTGGACTTGGTTAATAAAGGGATAGCTGATCAATTGGTGCAAGGAGGAATCATGTTACAATCATTTGAAGTAGCCTTATTTCTCCTAGCTTGTATGACTAAAGTAAACCAGGCATAGTACACCAAAGATGATCAGGTTTCCCCAATGTTCTTCCGATTAACACAAGAACAAATCGGTAAAGAAAGGGAAAGGGACGAAAACATCAAAAAGATGTTGTCTCAAATGGAAATTCTACAAGAACATATGGAGTATTTCAAGTTGATGAGGGTTCTTCTTCCAGTTACTCAAGATCGAGGGAGAATCAAGGTTGGAACTCTAGAAGATACGAGGAGGGTTTCCACCCACACTATCAACCGTGGGGCGAAAATCAAGGTTGGAACCATTATAGGGGTGAAGAACAAAAGATATATTGGCAAGATTGGGCTGAGCAGGATGATCATGAGGAGGACCATACTCACTTGAGTGAAAGCCAAAAATCTAAAGGGAGTGCAAATAGTCCTCGAGTAAATGATTTATTATCGCGCATACTCGATAAAGTTGAAGGGTCTGATGATTTGCTAAAAGGGATGAAAGATGACTTTTCATCATTGAACAGTAAAGTGAATTCTCATGTTGATGCCATCAAAATGCTGGAAGGTAAATTGAGTCTATTATCAGCTCAATTAACGTCCAAAACATCGATGGAAGATATTGAAAGAGATCTGGCTGTAGTTACCCGTAACGGCAAAGTGGTAATAGGGAATGTGATGGAAGATGAGGATCCTCAAAAGCATGAAGAGAGCCAAGATGTGGAAGAACAAGAATTACCTATTCGACAAAACCTTACCAAAAAACCACAGGAGGAAGCAGAGCAACAAGTTCAAGTTCTAAAAGTCATGCACCCTTTACCCAAGATACCTCCACCATTTCCCCAACATTTGAAAAAGAAGAATGAAGATGAGAAGTTCAGAAAATTTTTGTTAGTATTCAAGAACTTATCAATTAACCTTCCTCTGGTGGAAGCGTTGTTGGGAATGCTGGGATACGCCAAATTCATAAAAGAGCAGGTTACAAAGAAAAGGAGCTTGGACTACGAAATGATTGAGGTGCCCCATAGTTGCAGTGCAATTATGACAAATGAGTCAATCACTAAGAAAGAAGATCCTGAGTCATTCACAATCACGTGCACAATTGACATGCTCCAATTCGCTAAAGCTTTGTGTGATTTAGGAGCAATCATTAACTTGATGCCCTATGCAATATACAAGCAACTTGGTATGGGTGAACCAAAGGCAATCACAATGAGACTCCTTATGGCTGATCGATTCATCAAGCACCCAGTGGGGATACTCTATGACATATTGGTAAAAGTGGATCGGTTCATCTTTCCGACTGATTTTGTGATTCTAGATTGTGAAATCGATGCTGAAATCCCCATTATTTTAGGAAGGCCATTCTTAGCTACCGGGAGAGCATTGGTGGATATCGAAAGCGGGAAATTAAAGTTATGTGTGAACGATAATGAGGTTACCTTCAATATCTGTAAATTCATGAAGCAACCAAGTAATATCCATGTGGTGTCTACTGAGGATGCTATGGATGAGGCAGTGGCAAGTGTGAGCCATTTAATGTGAAAGAATGAACCCCTTGAATCTATACTTGCCAATTATGATGAATCAGAAGTTCAAGGCTATGAGGAAGTGATAGCTTCCTTATCGGGGTTAGGAGTTTATTCAAGGAATCAAATCAAGTTGGATATCGACCTAAAAAACAGAGAAAGTCCTCCTGCAAGGCCATCAATAGAAGAACCACTGAATCTAGAGTTAAAAGCCTTACCCTCTCACCTCAAATATGCTTTCTTAGGAGCCAATAAAACTTTACAAGTGATTATAGCAGCCGATTTTGCTTGAAAAGCAGGTGAAATTGTTCATTGAAGTACTGCGGAAACATATAAAAGTTATTGGATGGACAATAGTCGATATAGTAGGGATTCCTCCTGGCATCTGTACTCACAAGATTCAGCTCGACAGTGAATGTAAACCTAGTGTGGAGCATCAACAGAGATTGAACCCTCAAATGCAAGAGGTGGTGAAAAATGATATCATCAAGTGGCTAGATGCGGGAGTGATCTACCCTATTACAGATAGTAAGTGGGCAAGTCCGGTGCAATGTGTACCGAAAAATGGAAGTATAACCGTAGTCCCAAATGCAAAAGGAGAACTTGTGCCGACAAGACCAGTGACTGGGTGGAGAGTATGCATGGACTATCGAAAGCTTAACTCACGGACCGACAAAGACCATTTTCCAATGCCCTTTATGGACTAGATGCTTGACCGGTTCTCAGAAAAAGGGTGGTATTATTTTTTTGATGGGTACTCCGGTTACAATCAAATCTCTATTGCACCAGAAGACCAAGTGAAAACCATTTTTACTTGCCCTTATGGAACATTTGAATTCAAAACGATGTCATTCGGGCTATGTAATGCCCCATCAACATTTTAGCGTTGCATGTTTTCTATTTTTGCGGATATGGTTGAAGACTCTATGGAGGTATTCATGGACGACTTCTCAGTCTTAGGGGATACGTTTGAAGAATGTTTGACACACTTAGGGCAGGTACTCCAAAGATGAGTGGAAACGAATTTGGTTTTGAATTGGGAGAAATGTCACTTTATGGTGAAAAAAGGTATCGTTCTTTGGCACAAGGTATCGAAAAAGGGGCTGGAAGTTGACAAGGCGAAAATTGAAGTCACTGAGAAATTACCCCACCGATTTCAGTGAAGGGTGTTCGCAGCTTATTGGGGCATGCAGGGTTCTACCGAAGGTTCATTAAAGACATATCAAAGATTGCACACCCATTATGCAAACTCTTAGAGAAAGAAGTGAAATACTATTTTAATGATGCTTGTATGGCTGCATTTCAGTGTTTGAAAGAGAAACTAGTATCCACCCCGATCATCATCAACCCTAACTGGTCCGAATCTTTTTAATTAATATGTGATGCTAGCAGTATGGCATTGGGGGTCGTGTTAGGGCAAAAGTGCAACAAACTATTTCACCCAATTTATTACGCAAGTAAGACTTTAAATAGTGCCCAGCAAAATTATACGGTCACTAAACAAGAGTAGCTTGCGGTAGTCTATGCATTTGAAAAGTTTTGGGCATACTTGCTAGGCACCAAAGTAATCGTACATACTGATCATGTTGCACTCTGTTACTTGATGGCAAAGAAAGATGAAAAACCAAGAATGATAAGGTGGGTGCTACTATTACAGGAATTTGATTTTGAGGTAAAAGATCGAAAAGGATGCGAAAACCAAGTGGCTGATCACTTATTAAGGTTGGAAGTAAGGGAAAATGATGAGCATGAGGTCGACATAGACGACTCCTTCCCTGATGAATAGGTGTTTGCAATATCTCTCAAACATACGCCATGGTATGCAGATTTTCCAAATTACATTGTGTGTGGGTTGATGCCGTATGAGTTGACCTTTTACCAACATAAGAGGTTCATGTTCAATGTTAAAAATTACTTTTGGGATGAACCATACTTGTTTTGAGAGTGTGCTGACCATGTCATTAGAAGGTGTGTTTCGGAAGAAGAAGCGGTGGAAATCTCCATGCTTATCATACATCTCCAGTGGGAGGTCACCATGGTGGTATTCACACTGCCTCTAAAGTTCTCCAAAGTGGATATTATTGGTCGTCCCTCTACAAGGATGCACATGAGTTTGCAAAGAAATGCTCTCAATGTCAACAACAAGGCGGAGTGTCTAGAAGACACGAATTACCTCTCACTCCTATTTTAGAGGTCGAGCTATTCGATGTATGGGGAATCGATTTCATGGGCCCATTTGTGAGCTCATTTGGAAATAAATATATCTTGGTGGCTGTAGATTTTGTTTCCAAATGGGTGGAAGTCATCGCACTTCAAAACAACGAAGGAAAAAGTGTTGTCCAATTTCTTAAATGCTACATCTTCGCAAGATTAGGCACTCCGATGGCAATCATTAGCGATGGGGGGTCCCACTTTTGCAATAGGTGATTTTTAATGGCACTGAACAAATATGGGGTGAAACAAAAAGTAGCAACCCCATATCATCCCCAAAAAAGTGGCAAAGTCGAAGTGTCAAATCGGGAAATAAAAAGTATCTTGGCAAAGACAGTAAATGCCAACATAACTTACTGGTCTAGGAAACTCGATGATGCACTATGGGCATATCGGACAGCTTACAAAACACCTATTGGTATGTCTCCATATCATTTGGTTTATGGTAAGGCTTGTCATTTGCCCGTCGAGTTAGAACACAAAGCATTGTGGGCATTGAAAGATTTAAATTTGGACTGGTTAAAAACCTCAAGGGAGAGAGTAGAGCAGCTGAACGAACTGGATGAATTTAGACTCAGATCGTATAAAAGTTCAGCCATCTACAAAGAGAAGATGAAGGAATGGCATGATGCTTGAATACTCAAGCGGAACTTCAAGGTGGGAGATTGGGTTTTGATATACAACTCTCGACTTAGACTCTTTCCCAGAAAGATCAAATCCAAATGGTCTGGACCCTTTAGAGTAACGCGAGTGTTCACCAATGGTGCAATAGAAGTTGAAGACCATGAAGGACCTACATTTAAAGTGAATGGTCAATAACTGATATTATATTTTAGGGATTGTCAAAAGATTTCTTTGGTTGAAATGGTGTATTTGGAAGACGCTAGAAGGCGCTGCTGCGTCATGACGCGACGTTAACTAAGGCGCTATTTGGGAGGTAACCCAAAACCCCTTTAATTTCTTTTTATTTCTTGGTAAAATAATGGTGTGTTGTTTGGACATGTTAAAGTATGAGAAATGTTCGACAAAGTGATGGATGGCAAGCAATAGATTCAGTCGGCGAGTTACCGAAGGTTTCGGCGAATCCAACCTTATTCGCTGTTTGACTCAAGACATCGTCAACAATGGAGTCTGTAAAACTAGATGAGCTTTGGAAATGATTGGCGAATCGCCGATCATGTCGGCGATCACGATGGAAACCGTCGTTTGGATCCCCGTAAACCAGTGGTCCAATAAATTTTGGCGAAAGAAGCTAAACAACGCCGAGTAAGTAGGTGAGCTCGACTAATGTCATCGAGTGGGTAAAAATTGGATGATTTTTGCAGGCCAAAGGTTTAACAAGTTTCAACTTCGTTCAATTTCCCTAACTTTTTATCTGTCCAAACTCACACCTGCACTCTAGTTTCTATATTTCTTGCATTTTTAAACATTTTAGTTGTTGAATTATGCTCAGACTTGGATTACATTGCCACTTAGCATTTCAATCCTCTCATTCGTGACACAAAAGAGTTATGCATGTCTTTCTGGCAGACTCACAATCACCAGACCTTGGTGAAGCTGGCACTATTGTCCCCCCTGAGGTGACCTCAGGCACTAAGGCCCAAGCTCAGGGTAAGGCATCGGGTACTCATGCCCAGACACATGGAGCAACTTCTTAGAAAGGATCTCCTTATTACCTCCCTTTCTGTCTTTCTTTAATTGTCATTTTGGATATTTTTTTCATGTGCATCTGAGGACAAATGCTATTTAATTGTGGTGGGGTGAGGCTCACCTTTTGTGTGCTATTTGTGACTCGTGTTTTTATGTATATATTTTGGTTGTTCTGTTTTAACTGATATTAGCACTGCCTTTCTGTGGATGTTTGAGATTATGACTCCTTTTATTTTAAATTGCAAAATGATTTTGACTCTTCCGAAAATTTTTGAATTTTTTACACATCTTTGCCACCTCTCATGTGTTGAATGTTGCTGTTCTTTTGCAAAAAAATGAGTCTCGGTTCCAATCAATATCGATGACTTAATAGTGCTCTCAATCGAACGAACATGAATGCGCGGCTACGATGAGGCCAAATGAAGTTGCATAGACAATATGTGAACTCTTTGCATCTCGTTATGACTAGCCTAGTATCAAATTGAGTCTCTTGTGATGATCATTGCACACTAGCGAAAGTGTGGAGTCTTGTTTGACTTATAGTGTCAATGCCTAGTGTGATGAGCTTACTTGTGAACTATGCATGATAGATCCTAGAATTTGCCCCGTTGGTCCGGTCAACTAAGTGATGCTATCTCTTGATATGATCTTAGGCAACTTCGACGAGTGTGAACCAATTTGACATATACCTCTTGTGAGACTTACCTTGTGAGTGTGTTATTCTCTCTTGAACACCCCTTGAGCCTTACCTTTCTTTGGAGGAAACTTGATGAAAACTAGACCTTTCTTAATCCATCCCCCATAATCCTCATGAAGTTGTGGTTAGTTTGAATAATTGTGGTGAAAAGAGAAGGCAAATCAAGAAGTGCAAGAAATTCCCTCCTACCCATGGTTTTAAGGAAAATGGAACCCCTCCATATAAGAAAAAAAAGACAGAAAAGAAAAAAAAGAATGAAAAAGAAAAGTTGTGGAATAAAGTTGAAAAATGAAAGGGGGTTTCCAAACAATTCTTGAAAAGTAAATAATAGGATGACTTATAAGCACTAATGAAAATGACGAAGGATAAAGGAAAGGAAGTGTTGTGAGCACCACATCTCATGAGGATGAAAGTCACTGAGCATAAATGACCATACCTTTGCACTCAGCCCCATTACAAGCCTTGAAAAGACTTTTTTGATTTTGAGAGAGCTAAAACAAATGTTGATTGGAAAATACGGGCAAACCTATGGGTGAAATTATGCATTATGTTCTTCTTTGTGAGTGTGAGCGTTGCATCTGATTCCAAAGCTTTAAATTGTGAAACTATTGTGTGAATATGGAATCATTCTTTGTGTGAGGGCATTTGAACACTAGTTGAGCTTGAACTTGCATTTGAAGAGTATTGTGAGCATGCGATTCGTTGATATTGGTAAGTCACAACTTGAATTTTTGAATGCACATTCGATCTTTGCATAAGTAAATTGAGTCTTGTTGTGTGCATTCATGATTGAGTCTTGTGTAGCACTGTTCGAGACACTTTTTTTGAACGACTGAACTTGAGTTTGCTTGAGGACAAGCAAACGTTTAAGTTGGGGGTGTTGATGAGTCCACAAATTGGACTTATTTAGGGCTATATTTTAATAGAAATTGTGTCCTCAAATGCTTATTTTATCTCAATATCTGATGAAACCCCTTAAGTTTCAGGTATTTTAAGTTTTAAGGAAAGCATGGACATTACGTCGCAAAAAGGAACGAAAAGGCTAAAAAGAACAAAGAAATGAAGGCCTAAGGATTGCCGAGTCCACTTGGTGAGTCGCCGAAGGGTCTTACTTCGCCTTTTTTTCCAGTGTACTGAGCCCTGAAGGAAAGGATCAAGTCGGTGAAAAACGGAAGCAGTCGGCGCATCGCCCAGAAGTTCCGTGAAGAAGTACCATGTCACACAATGACCTAGAGCATGATGATGTTGAGGGCTGGTGCAAGACGGAGATGACCTACACCAAAGGGCGAATCGCCGAGTTGATCGGCGATTCCGACTAACGATGCTGAATGATCCGCTGCAACACAAATCTGTGAAAACTATAAATACTAGTTACAGTTGTAGTTTTAAATGTGGAACAATTATTATAATTTTAACTTAGAGTCGAACAAGTGTGAGTTTTCATATAGAATAATACTTTTTGATATGTTTTCTCTAAGTTGGAGAGGGTTTTGAAGACTTGAAGAAGAAGAGGGTTTCATCTCCAAGGATTTGGACTTGGGTCTTTTGGATTCTTCATTCTTGGCCTGTAACAAGATTTAAATCTTCATACCCATTTGAATGCAAGCTCATTTAGGTATAAATTTCTATCTCTTGATGTGTGGCTAAAAACCCCAATTCTTGGAGTGTGATTTAGCGAATATGGGTTAAGATAATTGTTGGGTCTTGCTTGCTGAGAGTCGATTCGTAGTTTAAATGTGATTTTGTTTAGTGGTTGTGGATGAATTTAATGAATTTGTAGTTGCAAATACAAGTTTATTTATGTGTTTTTAGCTTGCTCGAGAGAGAGGTCGTAAAACTAAAACCACTAAATTAATGGCCGGTGTGAGTGGGTCGACATGAAGTTCAGCTCGAGAGAGTGAACCCTAGTCCCATGTCCACACACTCAGCTCGAGAGAGTGAGTGGGTTAAGGCTTAGGCTGGTCCTCATGCGGCAAATGGGTGTCCGAGTAGAACGCACTTGAAACGGGGTAAGTTGCTCGAGAGAGAGCTTATCCCTCTTAAAGTCTAGCCTAGTCAGTATTATTTTATGAATCTTCTATTGAAAGCATGTACCCAATAATCTAGCTTAACCCGTATTCCCGTCACATCCCAAGGATTCCCTCTCAGTACTTAGAAACCCTTGTTTATTTTACTGTTTTTACTTACTAGTGACAAAACCCCCCATTGTTAATGGATACTCTTGTATCCCCGTCCCCTTTAATTTAAAATGTTTGTAATCGTTAATGTCTTTAGCTACGACTAGTTAGAACTACATTTTAATTTTCTATTCATTCTCAAAACCACTCTCATGGAAACAATCCCAACCCTTGGTTGGGTTACTAAACTATTGTACGATCGTAGACACTTGCATCGGAAGTTGTGTGTTGATTACGCAAACATCAGGCCCTAACAGGGTTAGTTCCCAGGAAAAAAATTCATAGGAGTTCACCCCGTTCCTAGAGTTCTTTATTGACCCAGTGTTATGTCCCGCCACTTCGCAGTTCAAATTTGGCACCAGAATAAGGGGGAAGAATCTAGTGTTGTGGGGAGGTTACTAGAACACTCTAGAACTCCCTAGATAATTTCCAAGAAAGCCTTAGAATTCCATAGAAAGTGTAGAGAATTCTAGAGAGGGACCAAAGTGTAAATATTGTAGGGACTTGTCAAGTAATTTTTAATTGCACTTAAGCCCCTAGGTTGTAGTATAAATAGATGGGACATTCATTTGTAATCCATCCAAGCTTGAAGCAAGCAACCAAGAAAGTTGTAAGCAATCTTCCAAGCAATAAAAATCCTTATTCCAAAAGCTCTCTAATCTTTCCAAGTCTTTCTTTATATTCTTTTAGCGATCTAGCTTCAAAAGGCTTACCTGAGCTTACAAGAGCGTGAAAGAGTCGTGAGTAAGTTATCGAGTGCCGCACAGAATATTAGTAAGACTCTAAGTTTGTGACAGGTACTAAGGGAATGGCTAAAGAAGGGGACGTAAACGCCGCTAGGACTGCTAACATCTGTTCGGACGGAGGAATGAAGAATCGCAAGGGAAAGAAGCACCAAAAGGATAATGAAGAAAAGTTGCTCGACCCTACACCAAGTGAGCCGCTAACATCTCACCCACCTTTGACCACCGAAGCAAGTGACGTTGAACTTGGCGAGGAGGCCATCGACGTCACCGCCGGAGAGGAATGGGTCGCAAGGGTTGACATGGCAAGCCACGCCGTGGACATATTAGGACGGCGTTTGAATGTAGCCGATGGCAAGTTCAAGACTC